CTCACCTTCAAGGCGTATATACTTTTTAATTTATGAATAAATAGTTACGCATCGTGCTAATATGATAGCGTTTGTAAATATTATTATATCAGTTCATCAAACTAAAAGACGGTAAATATGTGACGAATTTTAATTATATTTGCTATACAAATAAATTATCTTTACATAGTATTAAACAAAGTTGTCGCCGCTGTTTGTTCGCTTATATCTTTTAAATTACACAACGGATTTTAATGCGTTTTAGCAATAGATTAAGTGAGTCAAGAGGAAGATTTATATATAAAATAAATGCATGTTATAGTATAGAACATGCCGAGAAATTTAAAGATTTTTAATGCATCCGTGGGAAGTCGGGACGAGTCGCTAGTAGTGTATTAACAGATGATTCTTGTAAATTACTTAAAAGCGTCCCACACACGCTTTTAAGTAATTTAAACATCCCTAAAATCTGTGGGAATATCCGTATAGTGTTGTGTACATCTTTTCTTAGGTCGCCTCGTGTGTGCGTAAACCGTAATCGTTATTGTCTATGATGATACCAGATGATCTAGAAGGCACTCCTCTATGCTCCAATTATGCCCTTTATCGTCACCTATGATAAGGTCGTGTGTAGACACTTTCAGATTATATTATCTGGCTATCAACATATTTACTGCCCAAACATGTATGTAAGCTATAATAATAATAGCCCTGGACAATTCACACATTGCCATCTGTCCCAACCTAAGCAGAGCTATACTTAGATTTTGTTTTTTATAAATACACTAGTTACTCGCCCCGGCTTCGGACGGATACACGTATTATATATATAAACCTTCATCTTGAATCACTCAATCTATTAAAAAAAATAGCTTCAAAATCCGTTGTCTAATTATAAAGATTTAAGTATACATAGGGAAGGACAGACAGAGACAGCGACTTTATTTTATACTATGTGATGATACATAATATACATAGAAAACATCCAGACTATAACAAACAATCATTGTCATGAATTTTGCGAGTAAATAAACCACATGACCACCGAAGTCGTCACATTGAATTCTATTAATATTTAATTCGTTGAAGGTGGACATTTTTCTATATTTTAGGCATAGACAATAACGGAGTTTTCACTGCAGCAGTCAATTCTACATTATTCACGCGGTTATAGTGTACCCGGATGAAGCTGTAGCTTACCGACATCCGGTTTCACAGTGCTGCACTGCGGAATATACGGTTTTATGGCAGTCATAATTCAAGATTTTGTTCTACAAAAAGTCATTCAAATTGAATATCATATACAACAGACATGGAATATGTTATGCGTCGCCACCCTTACGTGGCGTATTAATTTTAACTATTTTGACTATAGAGATAGACTAACCACTAACTAGGATCCGTATAATGTTTATACACAGAGTAGGTGCTGTAAAGAACACATTGTGTATAGCTCATATATATATATATACATCCACGGTACAAGTAAATCAATTTATATAAAAAACTAAGCGTTTCACTACCAAACTAATTCATGTAATTCTAATCTTCATCTAACAAAAGCTGTTTGTTTTATATTAAATACTGTAATATACAATTCTTTATCTTACCTTTGCAGTACCTATGGTCACGCCTTCTATTAAGTTATATTTTTGTGACAATGTTAACAAATTGTTCCCAAATATCAATGTTTTATAACCCGTATCAAATAGCGCCTATATAACTGAGCTTATAATTTTAAAAATGTCTCTAGTTCAAGAAAATATCATCTGTAAAGCTTAAACTAATAAAAAAGTGTTCTTCTTTCCAGAAAACAAAGTCACTTGTCTGTTCGGTTTTTAATACAATTTTTATCAGTACATAGACTGATTCAATATATATATATAATTATAGTTTATATGTATAATACATGCGTGTTATATTATAGACCAAGTCGAGAAATTCAAAGATTTGTAATGAATTCGTGCGGACGGGATAGGTCGCTAGTTATGTACAAAATTGAATTATTATTCTGTTTTATATTTGATTAATTAATTATTAAGTTGTTTAAATTTATTTAATTATATTAAAGTTTCTCATATACGAGTGAGTAAGCTTTTTTCAGAAATATTTCATGTGGCCCTGTGGCGCAACGGATAACGCGTCTGACTACGGATCAGAAGATTCCAGGTTCGAATCCTGGCAGGGTCGAATGTTCTTTTTTTAGTTATCTAGTTTTTGTAATTGTGTTAAATGTATTATGTTATAAGATGTGTGGTTTTTAATAAAATCAATGTGACAAGTCAAGAAATCTTAATATATATATAAGTAACAATATTATATTGCTCTATACACTGTGATTTAATATGTCGTAGAAGAAGAATTTAAAAAATATATTTTATAAATATATTTTTTTTTATTTTTATTTTATTTTATTTTATTTATTCGTATATGATATTCATGCAAAGAAGGCAATGATATTCATATAAAATGTGTTTTTTTATAAATAGTACATGTAAAGAAACTACCACAAATATTACAACTACGGAAATGTCACAGTGTGCTATGATTTTGACTAGTACTACAGTAGTAGTAGAACTGACAATCGTAATCCTCCTTGGATTAATGAATTAATGTAGTCATCCTAGTTCTACAAGTGAAAAGCTTCTTATTAAATAGTATAATCTATTTACACTTTGTACTAATACTTGGATACGTCGATATGTATCTATGCTAATAATGCTTTCACATGTATTTCTCCAGTTTGTTTCTACCTCAAAACGTAGGTAAACTACCGATCGCAATTATTCAAGCCTCATTAAGGTTGCATAGGCTAGCTTATGGTAAATGTTGCCAGTTCTTTTTTAAAAAAAACCAAACAGTTACAGGCGGAACATTTTAATAATTTATTTCTTATTGTTACTCTATAAAATGCAATTGCGCAATGACAACTACCTATATAACAATTTGTAAGTTTTTTGTTTCACTGACATAGTTACACTAAAAGCAAACAAATATATACTTTATTGCATAACAGAAAAAAACATAGGAATTAAGACAGACAAGATTTTCTTAAATGTACAATACGATTTTTATGCTTATTAATTTTTATACCTAATTAAAATCACATATATTTCGGTATGTTTCTCATACAGAATATCGGACACAATACTGAAATACTAAATGGTTAGATATAATACAGGAACACCTGCCAACCCTGATAGAACCGCGTGCGCTACATGAGCGACACTAAGCTTGCCAGTTGCGACGAGTCCATCGCATTTCCATGCATATTAATGTGGCTCGAATGAGATTCTCCAACTAAATAAAATAAAGCGTGTTTCGGCTTTGTCATGTTAATCTGGGCCGGCCGGAATAGAACTTGCAGGTCACATGTGCGATTACTCGCTAAGTGAGATAATTAGGTGAGTTTGTGATGTAAACGAGCTTTTAGAGCTCGAGGGGCTTAATGTAGAGATTCTTTTTTTTCCGAAAAAAAAAGAACACATTTTTTTTCAGTCTCTTTTTCATATTAGTTTTGTCCCACTGTATGTGGGGCCGGCTCTCCTAATTTTACGGCGCCAGGACAATCTGTCCTAGATTGTCAGGTCGGGCGATTTTTCCATACCGATAAGTTTACTTATACCAGCATAGACCACCAAGTCGCTGGAGGACGTCATCTACTCTTTTATGTTCGGGTAGTCTTAAGGCTTTTTTGACCACATAATCCTCGTCACTTCGCATTACATGGTCATATCATCTGAGACGGCCCCGTAGTGGCCCCCTCCTTTATAGGGGCCAAAACGAAACTACCGCGGTTTTTCATTTTTCAGTATTACATTTAATTTTTTGTGTTGTCTATTCTGAAAGGGTTTATACAACGTTTATTTCACCTATTTAAATATACATAATCTATATTTCTATCTATTCATTAATTCCCCAAGTACCTGGCTAAGTAACGTATCTACCCGTTGAAGGGGGAGATATGACAGCGAAATTACAGGGTACAAAGGCATGACAGCGTACTTCCGTGGTATGGCACCGCATAACGATTAGTACGCGCGTCACGTGCCGACATGATGTCCGTGATGCTGTTTATTTTACGTATATAGACGATAGTTACCATTTACCCCATAGACCAGGGTCGATTTTTTTTAAACCAAATACTTAAAATAATAGTTGGATTGAAACCATTAGAAAAGAAAAAGAATATAACAGAAGTGAAAAGGAAATTACCTTCTTTTCCGCTGGATTTCCTCCTACTATGTTTAACTTTTTTTTCGTTTTTTAACATTTTCAGCCTTCAGCCCTAGTCTAGTCTGATTCAGTTAATAAAAAATAAAGATTATATGTACCTATATAAAATCTTAGGTTATTTCAATCCATTATTACGAAATCTTGGGCCGTGACCTCATTATCGTTATAAAGCGTAGGTGTACAAATTTCCCAGAAGCTTTTCGTAGGGACCTTCTTGGAAATATGTTAAGAGCCCGGATTGAATTTGCTAATGATTTGTTTTCAATGAGTTTTTGTTATGATACAATGGTGATTCCATTTTTGCTAATGGTGTACTTTTGGGGTACTAGTGAAGGATGAAAATGGGAAGAAGTCAGGTCACTTAACTTATTATAGCGAATTTAGCCGGAAATAACCCCGATTCTATTTACATTTCACAGAGGCTAATTAATGTATTGTATTAATATCTTATGTCAATATTATTACTAATAACGATATTTAATGTTAAAGCAATAATATTAACAGTACATGTGTATTTTATTCCTCTAAAGTAATATTCTAAAGAGGTAAAATTATATTTTTTTATTCTTTTAACGCATCTTAAAAATTATTTCATCTATAAAAGCTACATTATCAGCGACAAACAATAACAATATGTACAATAATTGCACCCTTTCAAAGCCGCGAGCGGGTAGCTTATTAATAATAATAATTTATTATTCATTCGTATATATATTAAAACATAATTATTTAGGTTAACTTTTTTTTCAGTCAGAGAATATAAAGTTGTTTTTTTTTGTTTACAGATAAACCTGCGGCTGATTCTGGTGTCCGGCAAGACGAAGGAGTTCGTGTTCAGTCCTGTTGACTCGGCGGGGGATATCGCGATACACGTCTACGACAACTGGCCTGAAGGTAGGCCTCAAATAAATATTATATATGGCAAACATATTTTAAAGAATAATTAAGTAGTACACCCGTCTGCGTTGATAGATAGATAGATAGACAGTAGTTACTAATATTGGGGTCACGAGCCGCCATAACAACCGACTTATACTTGCAGTACTTGGTGCAAGGAAAACGAGAGATTTTGTGATGAGAACTATATAGACTGAATAGAATAATATTTTTACCTTAAATCTTGGATATATTTCCGTAAACTGGTAACCCTGCACCTAATAATATAACAAATTAACGAGGAGGAGTCTACAATATTTGCCCTCCGCGACAACACCTCATATTTTGTCAATTTTGAGGACCAATATATTCTGGCCTTCTATGTCCTCATAGTTTTTTCAAGACAATAGTAACAAGTTTTTTTCTGTCAGATAAAGTTTTTTGTAGAGACTACACAGTCAATTTTAAGTTTTCTATTACAAAAAATAACAGCAACCATTAAGCATCTACTGTTTTTCAGCAAAAATGTTTATGTTGATTATCAGCCAGCCTGTAAAAAGCAGATTCTTTATTCAATTATGATTATGATTGAGTATGAAACAGTACTGATTTGTATATTTGTGGTTGCGATTGATCTTGTTGAAATATATCCCTGTTTGTCTGAATTGGTGATTGGTTCTATTTTTAGCGCATGTACTTGATATTCATCGTGTGTGGCCATAAAACTTTTCCCATAAAATATAGTTGTAAGTTAACAACTAATTTAAATTTATAACGCGCTACATCGTACAAATTGCTTTATCCAATAGCCAATCAAGTAAAGTGCATTATGTACTATAATTTATAACATAACCACACCTTATCAGTAATCAACTAAGTGATATTAAAATAATTATCTAATAATCAAATCCGATAATTTTATTATATACTAGCTGTTATGTGCAACTTCGTTCGTATGAAATTTGCCTTTTTTATTAAAATAAATAAAATTTCGAAATTAAATGAGCCTGTGTTACTCGTTTAGCTATATACGAGTGCTTCTCCCGACAAATCTGGTTTAAGTCTAGTGTCAGAGATTAGCAAGAACAGACAGACTTATATACTTTCATATGCGTGCAGTAAAAAGTGACTAATTTGAAATTTTAAACAAACACTTCATTTACATTTATACGTATAGATGGATAGATAATTAAATATAAGTAAATGGTCAATTATATCTACTTAATGAAGGTTACGTTATGGATATTGTGTAATTTATATAATTGATAAAAAAAACCGGTTACAAGCTTAAACAATAATGTGTGGCCTAAATACGGAAGTCGTAGATTAAAAAGACGAACAATCATAATCTGATCAGAGTTAGCGAGGTTATCGCATTATAAACACTTGAAAAGAATAATAGTCGCAATTGTTAATTATTCCTACTTTTGAGATTGGGGCAGAAGAATTTTTCGACAGGATGCCTACGGTTATCTTTTACCATCGCAACGCTCGCCATCGACAGGGAATTCATCCCCAATCTGCAACCTACTGCCTACTACTACTACCCTACACACGGTGCTGTTTTCGAGGAAATTCCGCCCACATACACTTAGATTATGGAATGAAACTACCTGCCGAGGTTTTCTAGAGAGACTACAGAATAGAGTTTCTCAAGAAGGTTATATTGAGGTTTCTTAAGAGTCGGCAACGCGCACGTTAGTGCCCTGGTGTTGGGGCATACGGCCCCAACACCAGGGTTTATCTACCGCCTATGTAATATAAGAAATTATATACATACATATATAAAGAAATACGAATATAAATTGAATTAACTCAATGTGTTACTGATGTAGTGTACACATAATAACTGAACAATTCACACAAAGTTATTGTTATAATACATAATCATGAATACAAATGTTTGTACGGTGCGAGGAATCAAACCTGCGACCATCGGAAGTAAACCGTTAGCCACCAAGGGCGTTGTCGAATGAGAGCTGTTAGTGCAGTGAGCGCTATTGAAATTCGATAGAGTATCGTGCAGTGTGCTCTGTGTACTACCTACAGAGTAAACACTAGCGGCCTTGTTTACGATACTGCAAACAATGCAGTGAATTTGCTCCTTTGTTCACAAGAAACTAAAATACTTAGTACCCACTGTGGAAGTAAGTACTACGATGTTTAGCTTATTAGACTATGGAATTCTAAGTATCTAGTGTAATTTTGTACTAGACAAAATATGCACCGTTGTTTATTTATCGTTTTATTATAAGGTACAATTGTTACTTTTATACCATATTGTACATTGTATTGCAAAATTTTACTCCAAAAAATGTATTATAATATATAATTTAATATAAAAAATAATAATTGAATAGAAGTAATCATTTAATTATTTAAAAAAAATTAGAACATGGTTTAGTTTTAAGCTTCCTAGGCTCTGAAACCGAGTTAAATCTAATGGAATTACATTAATTTGGAATCATCTGTACTAATTATTAAAATTTTAAAGTACATGCCTTAGCAATTTTACTTACAAAAGTTTTCATATCTTTTACATAGAATTAAGTCGCTTACGCTGTCTGTTCACTTAGATCTTTTAAATTACGCAACGACTTTTAATACAGTTTTTAGTATTAGATAGAGTAATTCAAAAGGAAGGTTTATATGTATAATACGATGTACGAGTAGCTAGTATAATATAAAAAACATATAAAATTTTCTCTTGCGAAGATTTCTTCATTGAAAATATTTTCCCTTATTTTTGAAGATTTAGCGCATGGGGATCTGCATCTCCGTGTCCAATTTTATGGCAACGAACATTGACAAATTTATATTTACTTTCCTTCCGAGGTCATAAATAAAATACTACCACTACGACTGTTTCGCTACAGAGCTCTAAAAATGAAGATCAAAAAGAATAAAATAGCAATGTGTTTTTATATGTTTTATAATTTCTAACAGATAAGTAAAGATGAATTATAGAGAGTACAGATATAACTGTAATAGTAACAACTGCAGGGAATGGTAGAAAAGTAGTTAAAACTGTTACAGATATTTCTCCGAAAATGAGCGAATCTAGTGCTGCATTAAGCAGTAAATCATTAGAATAGTTCGAAACAAAACCTGGACAACTCCTACAGTGTCATCTATTTTCACATGGCCTATATGTACTACACATGCATCTAATATACTTATTTAAGAGTATATTTAATAGATATGCACATATACACAGAAAACCCTCCAATTCAAACAGGTATGAAGACAAATGTTTTTACTACATCCAAATCGATCCCCCGACCAAAGACGTGCTAAACCGTTAGACCATCGAGGTCGTCATGAGATGTTTGCATATCTGTAATAACACCAACTATTTTAACTATTGCAGCGCACTCACAGCTAGACAAAAGTTTCCCAGCCCGCATTGCGGACACTTAATTGATGCAATCAACATTCTCGAGGGAGTGAGAATATTTTGCGTAGTGTGTGCAATACGGCCTTATGTGTACAAGTACAACCCTTAGGGCAATTTAAGGGTGGCGGCATGTTAGGACTTTTGACTCACTTTGATAATATAATTTGTACGTGTCTTATCTTTTAGTGTTGACTGTTAAATTTCTCAAATATTTGAAGATTTTGGATCACTAACTCCGACTTCAGCTTTGAAAATCAATACTTAGTATACAATGAGATTGTATATACAAGAGTAATCATATGTTTCTATTTATTTGTTCATATACGGAACTTATATGAATGATATTCAAGTCACATTCGTGTTGTATGTCGTTAAGGAGTTCTGTTGTATATTTTCGAAGGCCAAAATCCAATATCAAAGCAATTAGGGGAAACCCGTGCAACAGATTGTTATATTGTTATTAAAACGTTACATTAAAATAAATTTTTTCACATGGTTATATTGAAATATAATAAAATTTATTTGAATTGGTAACCCTTTTTTATTTTTACAGTAGTCCAAAACTGATAGTACAACTGAAACTACGGAAGTTATCGAGTTATCAATAACACATGTAGCGTCTCTCATGTATTTGTAAAAAAAAATCTGTAATTTGCATAAAAATAAATATATACTTGTTTGTATATTATATAACTACTGACTTTGACCTCATAGTAATAAAATTCTGTTTTACTGTGTATTATTCAGCGTATTACTGTGTACTTGCGCAAATGCTATGAAGTTCCAGTATAATTATATGACATTTTAGTCCTTAGTAATGGCAATCCAAGGGCGGCATATGACGTGTCCAAAGTGCTATTCATGTTACATATATTGGCAACGATTAAACCAGGTAAAGAGTCAGCTAGTATAGTACCTATTATATTTAAAAAAATAGTTATAAAAGACTTAGTATAAATCTGATGAAGGAAGAAAGCTTGCTGTGCTGAATATTTTTAAGAACGTGTCTGTAATTTCAGTTTATTCTGCGGTAGCTATGTGCCGGATATCAGCTAATATTCTATATATAATTCTACAGTCAGGTTAGGTCATGGTTATCGCGTCCGCTGGTTCCCACAGGTATTAAGTGGAATAGATATCGTATATAGATACCTACTTCAGTATCTATGTTTGTTTACATTTTATATATTTTAATGCATATCTATGTATACAAAGTTACTATAATTGTAAGTATTTTTAGTCGAAATATAGTAAAACAACCGATTTAAATACGATATTTTACTGGATTGCTAGTAATTAAAACATAAACATACCTACGTGAACTGTATGGTTCTTAAATAATGACAGAACTCTACTAATACTCACTCTACCACTACCGATATCGCTGTTATTGTACTGTTTGTGCGCGTATTTATGGAAATTCGAGGAACCTTGATTACTCAGAATAAGTTTGTATATATACATATTCATTCCTATAGACAAAGGCTAAATCTCCTAAATGTTCAAATCAACACATCAGTGTTAAAATGTAGGATACAATTAAACTGTTGGTGGCCTCGTATGTCTAATGGTTTAGCACACCGCCTTACTTTCTATGGTATCGGATTCGATGCCGACGCAT